TCAGAAGGTTTCACATTGCTTTAAAAAAAGAAAATTTGTGCCTTAAAGAAGGTTGTATATTCCTAAAAAAAGTCACATGGGCCTCCTGAGAATGTTTAATTTTTTTTAAAAAAGGACGGTTGAGATTCCCGGGAAGATATCACATTCTCAAAAAAAAAAAAAACAGTTGGTGCCTCCAAGAAGGTTTCACATTCTTAAAAAGAAGACATTTGGGGAGTTTCGCATTTTTTGAAAAAAGAGTTGGAGGCCCTGAGAAAGTTCCATATTCTTTAAAAAAAAGACACCTGGACCCCCTGAGAGGGATTCATCTTCTTTAAAAAGGACAGTTGAGATCTCTGGGAAGATTTCACATTCTGAAAAAAAATTGGTGCTCTCAGAAGGTTTCACATTACTTTAAAAAAAGAGAATTTGTGCCCTGAAGAAGATTGTATATTCCTAAAAAAAGTCACTTGGGCCCCCTGAGAAGGTTTAATTTTCTTTAAAAAAGGACAGTTGAGATCCCTGGGAAGATTTCACATTCTCAAAAAAAAACATTTGGTGCCTCCGAGAAGGTTTCACATTTTTAAAAAGAAGACATTTGGGGAGTTTCGCATTCTTTAAAAAAAGAGTTGGAGGCCCTGAGAAGGTTCCATATTCTTAAAAAAAAGACACTTGGGCCCCCTGAGAAGGTTTCATCTTTTTTAAAAAAGGACAGTTGAGATCCCTGGGAAGATTTCACATTCTGAAAAAAAAATGGTGCTCTCAGAAAGTTTCACATTACTTAAAAAAAGAGAATTTGCGCTCTGAAGAAGATTGTATATTCCTGAAAAAAGTCACTTGGGCCCCCTGAGAAGGTTTAATTTTCTTTAAAAAACAACAGTTGAGATCCCCGGGAAGATTTTACATTCTCAAAAAAAAAAAACAGTTGGTGCCTCCGAGAAGGTTTCACATTCTTAAAAAGAAGACATTTGGGGAGTTTCGCATTTTTTAAAAAAAGAGTTGGAGGCCCTGAGAAAGTTCCATATTCTTTAAAAAAAAGACACTTGGACGCCCTGAGAAGGTTTCATCTTCTTTAAAAAGGACAGTTGAGATCCCTGGGAAGATTTCACATTCTGAAAAAAATTGGTGCTCTCAGAAGGTTTCACATTACTTTAAAAAAAAGAGAATTTGTGCCCTAAAGAAGGTTGTACATTCCTAAAAAAAGTCACTTGGGCCCCCTGAGAAGGTTTAATTTTCTTTAAAAAAGGACAGTTGAGATCCCCGGGAAGATTTCACATTCTCAAAAAAAAAAAAAAAAAATCAGTTGGTGCCTCCGAGAAGGTTTCACATTCGTAAAAAGAAGACATTTGGGAAGTTTCACATTCTTTAAAAATAGAGTTGGAGTCCCTGAGAAGGTTCCATATTCTTAAAAAAACGACACTTGGACCCCCTGAGAAGGTTTCATCTTCTTTAAAAAAGACAATTGAGATCCCTGGTAAGATTTCACATTCTGAAAAAAAAAAATTGGTGCCCTCTGAAGGTTTCACATTACTATAAAAAAAGAAAATTTGTGCTCCCGAGAAGGTTGTATAATCCTAGAAAAAGTCACTTGGGCCTCCTGAGAAGGTTTCATCTTCTTTAAAAAAGGACAATTGAGATCCCTGGGAAGATTTCACATTCTGAAAAAAAAAAAAATTGGTGCCCTTTGAAGGTTTCACATTACTTTAAAAAAAGAAAATTTGTGCTCCCGAGAAGGTTGTATAATCCTAAAAAAAGTCACTTGGGTCCCCTGATAAGGTTTAATTTTCTTCAAAAAACGACAGTTGAGATCCCCGGGAGGATTTCATACTCTCAAAAAAGCAGTTGGAGTTTTTGAGTAAGTTTTACTTTCGTTAAAAAAGAACTGTAGGGATCCCCGGGAAGATTTCACATTCTTAAAAATAAACAGTTGGTGCCTTCAGAACGTTTCACCTGCTTAAGAAAAAAAAACAGTTGGTGCCTCCTAGAAGGTTTCACATTCTTTAACAAAAGAGTTGGAGGCCCTGAGAAGTTTCCATATTCTTTTACAAAAAAGACACTTGGGCTTCCTTTGAAGTTTTCATCTTTTTTCAAGAAGGACGGTTGAGATTCCTGGGAAAATTTCACATTTTGAAAAAAAAACAGTTTGTTCCCCCGAGAAGGTTGTATATTCCTAAAAAAAGTCACTTGGGCCCCCTGAGAAGGTTTAATTTTCTTTAAAAGAGGACAGTTGAGATCCCCGGGAAGATTTCATATTCTCAAAAAAGCAGTTGGGGTTCCTGAGAAAATTTCACATTCTCAAAAATAAACAGTTGGTGCCTTCGAGAAGGTCTCACATTCTTAAAAAGAAGAAATTTGGGGAGTTTAACGTTCTTAAAAAAAAAGAGTTGGAGGCTCTGAGAAGGTTCCACCTCCTCTAAAAAAAAAATTTGGAATCCTCGAGAAAAATTCACATTCTTTAAAAAAAAAGACAATTTGGGTTGCATATTAAAAAAAAAAGTCAGTTGGGACCCCTGAGCAGGTTTAATTTTCTTTAAAAAAGGACAGTTGAGATCCCCGGGAAGGTTTCATATTTTCAAAAAAAAGCAGCTGGGGTTCCTGAGAAAGTTTCATTTTCTTTAGAAAAGAACAGTTGTGCTCCTCGGAAGATTTCACATTCTAAAAAAAAAAACAGTCGGTGCCCCCAGAAAATTTCACTTCCTTTAGAAGTAGAAAAAAAACAGTTGGTGCCTCTGAGAAGGTTCCACATTCTTAAAAAGAGGACATTTGGGGAGTTTCACATTCTTAAAAAAAAAAGAGTTGGAGGCCCTGGGAAGGTTCCACCTCCTTTAAAAAAAAAGATTCGGAATCCTCGAGAAAAATTCACATTCTTTAAAAAAAAGACAGTTTGGGTTGCATATTAAAAAAAAAGTCACTTGGGACCCCTGAGAAGGTTTAATTTTCTTTAAAAAAGGACAGTTGAGATCCCCGGGAAGGTTTCATATTTCCAAAAAAAGCAGCTGGGGTTCCTGAGAAAGTTTCACTTTCTTTAGAAAAGAACAGTTTGGATCTCTCGGAAGATTTCACATTCTCAAAAAAAAAATCCGTTGGTGCCCCCAGAAGGTTTCATTTCCTTAAGAAGAAGAAGAAAAAAAAACAAAAACAGTTGGTGCTTCTGAGGAAGTTCCACATTCTTAAAAAGAAGAAGGTTCCATATTCTTTAAAACAAGACAATTGAGATTCCTGGGAAGATTTCACATTCTGAAAAAAAAACAATTGGTGCCCTCAGAAAATTTCACATTCTTTAAAAAAACAATTTCTGGCTCCGAGAAGATTCATACTCTTAAAAAAAGACACTTGTGCCCCTTGAAAAGGTTTCACCTTTTGTAAAGAAGGACTGTTGGGAACCCCGGGAAAGTTTCTCATTCTTAAAAAAAAACGTGGTAACGTTGCTCCCATGTAACATATTAGACAATTAGCGAAATTACGTTCCGTACAACGTATTATCCGTTAACGTACACAATTGCCAATAGGGACATTGTATTTTTCCATAGATATTACAGTTTTTTCTACGTTTTGCGTGCTGTACGTTCTACCGCTAATAATTGTGTATTATTCATGACTTTCAATCCGAATTAACCAAGTGTAAACTCAGAAAAGTGTTTAAAGATAGAGTTTCTGAAGGTGCTTACCATTTTCGAATTCTAATAATTTCAGTGAACAGTGAAATTTGAATAACATTTTTGCATTAAATATATCATAAACTTTATGACCAATTGGACAATAACTTTGTGTGACGTGTTTTCGATATTACTATGGGTTTGTGAGTGATATTCGACACGGCGTTTTCATTTAAGAGTTGTTATTATTTCAATAAAACCGTAAAACGTTGGCTTTTATTTAACCTCGTTGTAAAATCCTGGACTCTAAAAAACTTCTATTTTTCTATAGTTTGATCTCTTTTATTTATGAATAATTGTTTTCTAACTTCCAACAAGCTTTTCTAACACTACAACACTGAATTCTTCATTTCTGTAAACATTAGTGTTTTCTTGAAAGGAATTGAAATCTTAGTGTTTGGTTTCTGTAAAAATTTCCACAAACACTAATACCAGCGCATGTATTTATTTTTTTAAATTTACGGCACTTGTCCCTATAGGGTCGTAGCTCCACCGGGTCTCAAGTGCTCTGCATGGTCCTGGTTCCTCAGGAAGGTGGCGTACTTCCACAGGGTCTTTGTACTCTGAGAAACGAAGAAAATTGCGATAGGTCAGGTGTCTGGAATGTTAACTTACTGGTACGACGCCCCGGATTTTCTGTAGTACAGTTTCAATAAATCCCAGGATAACTACACTAGGACTTCAATTCAGCATCGAGAACGCCATATAATAAAAAATTTGAGGGTCCAGTACTGTTATTAATAGACTTATACTGCACTTACTCAAATTGACATACGTGTCTTAGTTAAAATGTTGATTACGTCATCAAAAAATTTTTATATGGAAAAACTCACTAGAAAGATATCCATGCGAATGAATTTTAACGCAATTCGTTCGAAAGAATTTGAAAGTGTTTTTTATGTTTTGAAGAATTTGAAAGAGTGTCGGGAGTGCCTGGTGTTTTTTTCAAAAAGTTGGAAGGATCTCTGACCTAAGCTGAATTGTCATGTTTAATTTTTGGAAAAAAAAATGAATCAAGTACCTGGTGTTTCGTTTTTGAAAGAATTATAAGTAAAACAATTTTGACCCTTCCTCTTTGTTCATTTTTGAAAGAATTTGAAGAATCTGAAGAACCGACCCGTGGTGTTCTGTTTTTGGAAAAATTTTAAAGAATCTTGAGTGTCCGTGGTGTTTGATGTTCGTAAAAAATTTCCTAAGTGACAAAAGTGTGTAAAATAAGCGCGGTTATTTTTGTATATGCATTTATTAAATATTAAAATCCCAAAAATTTATTTTTAAAAGCCGATCATCTGCCGCCTTCAAACCACTGAAGAAAGAACACACTATTAATAATAAATAGTGTGTTCATCTTCAAGATCAATTGAACTATCTGCTTGCGATATCCCGCAGCAGCTGTGTCCAACTCGGTCTGCTTTGTTCGCTACCATTTACAACAGCATGATCTGTATTCACTTCTGGCTGCTCGCTACCATTTTCAAGAACATTATCTGTAGTCATTTCTGGCTGCTCGCTTTCATTTTCAACAACATCATTTGTATTCAATTCTGGCTGTTCGCTACCATTTTCAACAACATTATTTGTAGTCGTTTCTAGCTGCTCGCTACCATTTTCAACATCATCTGGATTCACTTCTGGTTGCGCGCTTCCATTTTCAGCAACATCATTTGTATTCAATTCTGGCTGTTCGCTACCATTTTCAACAACATTATTTGTAGTCGTTTCTAGCTGCTCGCTACCATTTTCAACAACATTATTTGTAGTCGTTTCTAGCTGCTCGCTACCATTTTCAACATCATCTGGATTCACTTCTGGTTGCGCGCTTCCATTTTCAGCAACATCATTTGTATTCAATTCTGGCTGTTCGCTACCATTTTCAACAACATTATTTGTAGTCGTTTCTAGCTGCTCGCTACCATTTTCAACATCATCTGGATTCACTTCTGGTTGCGCGCTTCCATTTTTAGCAACATCATCTATATGCACTTCTGACTGCTCGCTACCATTTTCAACAACATCATCTATATTCACGCTTGGTTGCTCCTCACCATTTTCAACAACATCTTTTGTAACCCCTCCTGGCTGGTTATCACTATTCTCAACAATGCCAACACCCTGACAGTTGCGCATGCACAGTTCGTATGAGGGGAAATTATTTTCGTTTCCATAACATCCCCCATATTTAAACTTGTAGCAATCCTTCAGCCAGGAGTCGTAGCTCCACCGGATACGAAGAATTTGGCATGGTCCTGGATCCCCATCAAGGTTGCATATTATTTCTGGGTGTTGTCTTTTTGAGAAATAATGCATTAAGTTGCTGGGAGGATGTGTAGGATCCACAGAGGTGATCTTAAGAGATGCGACCAAGAGCAGGATGACGACGAGCATTTTCACTACTACACTTTGAATAACTTCAGAACACACTATGACTTTAAAGGAGCACTTAGCAACGACTACTCAATAGAATATTAAAAATCTCAATTTTGTCGCTTATAACTTGGTGTCTTATCGGAACTGACCATAAAAATCAGTAGCTGTTTCATATACAAGCCGTAAACCGGAATTTCCATCAACAAATGCATTTTTTATCTGGAAAATCTTGAAAGCACTCTATACAATTTTTTACTGGGTGTTTGTAAAACATTTGATTGATGGCGCGAATTACCTTTTTAGTAATGTTAGATGTCCTCAATTCACTTTTGTATACCATGTTTGGTTCCTTAATTATTAAGTTTCGTACTTCGGTTAATAAGTGTATTAGCTTTAATAAATTTTATAAGCTAAATTCCTGTTTATCATTTAGTTCTGATGATGGTACCATTGTAATACTAATTATGACCACTTTGAGAAAAAGTTTCGAACTAATGCAATAATATTACCTAATGTTCAATAGTTGCCTTGTGTTAAATGTGCAGACAGAGTGGAGATAACAAATTTAAAACTTTCTTGAAAACCTTTGACACTCGATTTCTGTAAATATTTCCGTAAATGACAACGATGCGTAACACAAGCGCTTTCATATATTATATAAGTATTTTGTGAAATATCGAAAATTTTGTTAAAAATTGGTCGAAACTTGTGGTATTTTGCATATTTTTGATTGTTTCAAAGGACGATTCTGGAAGAACCATTGGAGTTATCGAAGAAATGAAAGCGGATATGACTTCTGCGGCCCGAAATCTATAAGAAAAAGTGTTTTGTGAAATTTCGAAAATATTGTTGAAAATTGTTCGAGAATTGGGGTATTATGCATATTTTTGAATGTTTCATAGGACGATTCTGGAAGAACCATTGGGGTTATCGAAGAAATGAAAGCGGATATGTCTTCTGGGGCCCGAAATCTACAAGAAAAAGTATTTTGTAAAATTACGAAAATTTTGTTGAAAATAGGTCGAAAATTGGGGTATTTTGCATATTTTTGAATGTTTCAAAGGACGATTCTGGAAGAACCATTAGAGTTATCGAAGAAATGAAAGCGGATATGACTTCTGCGGCCCGAAATCTACAAGAAAAAGTATTTTGTAAAATTTCGAAAATTTTGTTGAAAATAGGTCGAAAATTGGGGTATTTTGCATATTTTTGTATGTTTCAAAGGACGATTCTGGAAGAAACATTGGAGTTATCGAAGAAATGAAAGCGGATATGACTTCTGCGGCCCGAAATCTATAAGAAAAAGTGTTTTGTAAAATTTCGAAAATTTTGTTGAAAATTGGTCGAAAATTGGGGTATTTTGCATATTTTTGAATGTTTCAAAGGACGATTCTGGAAGAACCATTAGAGTTATCGAAGAAATGAAAGCGGATATGACTTCTGCGGTCCGAAATCTATAAGAAAATGTGTTTTGTGAAATTTCGAAAATTTTGTTGAAAATTGGTCGAAAATTGGTCGAAAATTTTGTATATTTTTGAATATTTCAAAGGACGATTCTGGAAGAACCATTGGAGTTATCGAAGAAATGAAAGCGGATATGACTTCTGCGGTCCGAAATCTACAAGAAAAAGTATTTTGTGAAATTTCGAAAATATTTTTGAAAATTGTTCGAGAATTGGGGTAATATGCATATTTTTGAATGTTTCAAAGGACGATTCTGGAAGAACCATTGGAGTTATCGAAGAAATGAAAGCGGATATGACTTCTGCGGCCCGAAATCTATAAGAAAAAGTATTTTGTGAAATTTCGAAAATTTTGTTTAAAATTGGTGGAAAATTGGGGCTATTTTGCATATTTTTGAATGTTTCAAAGGACAGTTTGGAAAAACCATTGGAGTTATCGAAGAATGAAAGCGGATATGACTTCTGCGGTCCGAAATATACAAAAAAAAGTATTTTGTGAAATTTCGAAAATTTTGTTGAAAATTGGTCGAAAATTGGAGTATTTTGCATATTTTTGAATATTTCATAGGACGATTCTGGAAGAACCATTGGAGTTATCGAAGAAATGAAAGCGGATATGACTTCTGCGGCCCGAAATCTATAAGAAAAAGTGTTTTGTGAAATTTCGAAAATTTTGTTGAAAATTGGTCGAAAATTGGGATATTTTGCATATTTTTTAATATTTCAAAGGACGATTCTGGAAGAACCATTGGAGTTATCGAAGAAATGAAAGCGGATATGAATTCTGCGGTCCGAGATCTACAAGAAAATGTATTTAGTGAAATTTCGAAAATTTTGTTGAAAATTGGTCGAAAGTTGGGGTATATTGCATATTTTTGAATATTTCAAAGGACGATTCTGGAAGAACTATTGGAGTTATCGAAGAAATAAAAGCGGATATGACTTCTGCGGCCCGAAATCTATAAGAAAAAGTGTTTTGTGAAATTTCGAAAATTTTGTTGAAATTTGGTCGAAAATTGGGGTATTTTGCATATTTTTGAATGTTTCAAAGGACGATTTTGGAAGAACCATTGGAGTTATCGAGGAAATGAAAGCGGATATGACTTCTGCGGCCCGAAATCTATAAGAAAAAGTGTTTTGTGAAATTTCGAAAATTTTGTTGAAAATTGGTCGAAAATTGGGGTATTTTGCATATTTTTTAATATTTCAAAGGACGATTCTGGAAGAACCATTGGAGTTATCGAAGAAATGAAAGCGGATATGAATTCTGCGGTCCGAGATCTACAAGAAAATGTATTTAGTGAAATTTCGAAAATTTTGTTGAAAATTGGTCGAAAGTTGGGGTATATTGCATATTTTTGAATATTTCAAAGGACGATTCTGGAAGAACTATTGGAGTTATCGAAGAAATGAAAGCGGATATGACTTCTGCGGCCCGAAATCTATAAAAAAAAGTGTTTTGTGAAATTTCGAAAATTTTGTTGAAATTTGGTCGAAAATTGGGGTATTTTGCATATTTTTGAATGTTTCAAAGGACGATTCTGGAAGAGCCATTGGAGTTAGCGAAGAAATGAAAGCGGATATGACTTCTGCAGCCCGAAATCAAGAAGAAAAAGCGTTTTGTGAAATTTCGAAAATTTTGTTTAAAATGGGTCGAAAATTGGGGTATGTTGCATATTTTTGAATGTTTCAAAGGACGATTCTGGAAGAACCATTGGAGTTATCGAAGAAATGAAAGCGGATATGACTTCTGCGGCCAGAAATCTACAAAAAAATGTATTTAGTGAAATTTCGAAAATTTTGTTGAAAATTAGAATCAAGTACCTGGTGTTTCGTTTTTGAAAGAATTATAAATAATCCTGGTGCTTTCTAGTGATTTATGTTTGAAAGCATTTTAATTCAAAAAAATTTGAAGAATTTTGACCCTTCCCGGTTATTCATTTTTGAAAGAATCTGAAAAACTTACTATTGGAGTTTTATTTTCGAAAGAAAATAAAGAATCACAGGGGCTCCGAAGTGGTGTCTTGTTTTGAACAAATTTTAACGAATCTTGAGTGTCCGTGGTGTTTGATTTTCGTAAAAAATTCCCTAAGCGACAAAAGTGTTGTCGCTACGTTAATTTTGGTCTTTTTTTGGGAATACCACCAACTTTGCGGACTGGGAAAGAACCGGTCATTTTTCAAAGTTTAAAAAACGAAAAACTGAAAATGGGAAATCCAGAAGTCGAAAAATCGTAACTTTATAAAATCGAAAAATCGAAAAATCAAAATCCTGAGAAATTGAAAAATTTAAACAACAAAAACCTGAAAAATAAAAAAATTGAAGAATTGAAGAAGTGAAAAATCGAAACTTTGGGAAGAAATGGGAAAATAAAAAAAAAGATTACTTCAGAAATCGGAAAACTGAAAATATAGAAACATCAAAATTTGAAAAATTCAAAAATTGAAAAATCGAAATATTTAGAAATAGTAAAATTGAAGAGGATAAAAATTGAGAAATTGTATCATTGAAACATCGGAAAATTGAAACATCGAAAAATAAAAAAATGGAGAAACCGAAAATTTGAAGAACGGAAAAATTGAAAATGGCCAGAATTGAAGTACTGAAAAATTGAAACGTCTAAAGTAGAAAAATCGAGAAATCTAAAAGTATTATACTGCACCTACTCAAACTGACATACGTGTCTTTGTCAAAAGGTTGATGACGTTATCACAAAATTTTTATATGGAAAAATTCACTAGAAAGATATCCAATCATCATAAAAAAATTCACAAAGTTAAATTTGATAATATATTTGTTCAAAATAATTTGAAAGTGTCTATATTTCGAAGAATTTAAGAATACCGGGTGTTATAGACGTTTTGTTTACAACGAATTTCAAGAGTGTTTAGAATGCCTGGTGTTTTTTTCGAAAATTTGAAAGAATCTCTGACCTGACTTAAGGTTTTATTTTTGGAAAAAATGAATCAAAGACCTGCGGGTTTCTAGTGATTTGTATTTGAAAGGATTGTATTTCAAACAATTTTGAAGTTTCAAATTCTTCATTCACCCTTAATATTTTATTTTCCTAAAGTCTTCGATGAACTGCTACAGATTTATGTATAAAGTTATTGTTCCGATCAACTCTAAAAATAGAATAATTTCGTAATCCTAATTCATAATCCATAAAATCATTGTTAAGCCAAGTTTCAATGAATATTATTACATCATAATGTTTATTGCTAACACTTTTATGGAGAATATTTAATTGGGTTCTAAAACCACCAACATTATGAAAGTAAATATTGATTAAATTTGAGTCGACGGTATAACTTGTATTTGTGTGTATTATGTATTTCAATGTTAAATTTTTTCACCCTTCGATTTCTTTTCCTCAAGTTGATTTCTTAATGTTTTAAGTTTTTACGTCCACATTTTTACAAACTATTTTTATTGGCCTAGGTTTTGAACTATCAACAACTTTACCTCTTTGCTTTAACTGAAAGTCCCAAATCTTCCGTAATAATTTTAGAAATAGCCGTACTATCGTGTTGAATTATCACGTTATGAATTTTGATCCTTCCTGGTTGTTCATTTTTGAAAGAATTTGAAGAATCTCAAGAACTAACCCTTGGTATTTTATTTTCGAAAAAATTTCCCCAAGCGACAAAAGTGTGTAAAACAAGCGCGGTTATTTTTGTATATGCATTTATTAAATATTAAAATCCCAAAAAATATATTTATAAAAGCCGATCATCTTCAAACCCTTGAAGAAACAACACACTATACTTTTTTATTGATCTTCATCTACCACTGGCGGTGCCTTCCTAAACTCCACGTCAAGTTTTTTAGCCTATTCCTGCTGCCCTTCGTGCGACCATTTTCAACAAAATCAGGTATATTCACGCCTGGATGCACGGTACCATTCTCAACAACATCATTTGTAACCCTTCCATTCCCAACACCACCAACACCATAACATTTGTACATGCAGGGTCTGTATGCCACGAAATTATTTTCGTTACCATGACATCCCCCATATTTAAACTTGTAGCAATCCTTCCGCCGGGAGTCGTAGCTCCACCGGATACTAAGCGCTTGACATGGTCCTGGATCTTCAGGAAGGTGGCATATTATTTCTAGGTCTCCCAATTTTTTTGAAAAACGAACAATATTTCGATATCTTGGATGTTTCAAATGTTAACTTACTGGGAAAAAATGTAGGATTCACAGAGATGATGTTAAGAGATGCGACCAAAGGCAGGATGAAGACGAGCATTTTCTGTAGTACAGTTTGAATAGCTCCAGAACACAATATGACCTTAGAGGAGCACTTAGCAACCACAATTTAATATATTATTAAAAACGTCAATTTTCCGCTTATAACTTGGTATATTATCGGACCGGACCATTAAAACTGTTAACTGTTTCACATACAAGCCGTAAAATGCATTTTTTATTTGGAAAATCTAGAGCACTCTATATAATTTTCTACTGGGTAATTGCAGAACACTCGATAGATGGCGCTAGTTACATTTTTATTTCTAGAATACTTGATAGACGGCGCCAATTACTTAATTATTAAAAAAACGAAAAACCGATAAATCAAAACATCGAAAAATTCAAAAACTGAGACAATCAAAATATCGAAACATCCCAATTTCGATAAATCGAGTTCTCAAAAAATTGAAAAATCGAAAAATACAAAAATTTTGCGGAATCGACGATTTAAATATCGAAATTTTTAGAAATTTTCAAAAATTTGCATTTCATATCGACTCTTTCGAAAATGTTGCTCCGTGACCATCAACATGGTATATTTTTTGAATCAGCATGTCGAGATCTACTTCCCTGAATTTTTTCGCAATTTTTAGATAAAAATGTAAAGTTTAAAAAACGAAAAACTGATGAATTAAAGAACTGAAAAATCGAAACTGCGAATTCGAGAAACGGGAAAATAAAAAAAATATATATATTAACCGAAAAATCGGAAAACTGAAAATTTAGCAACGTCAAAATTTGAAAAATTGTAAAATAGAAATACTGAAGAACTGGAAAATCAAAAAATCCAGAAATCGAAAAATTTAAAACTTAAAACATTGAACAATTGAAATATCGCAAAATTGGAAACTGGAGAAATCCAAACAAAAAAGAATCAAAAAAGAAAAATTCGAAAATCTAAAACTTAAAAATCGAAAAACCGAGAAATCCAAAAATCGAAACATCGAGAAATAAAAAAAAATGAGAAATTGATAAATATAAAATTTGAACAATCAAAACATCCAAACTTCTGAATTCGATAAATCAAGAAATAAAAAAAAAATTGAAAAATTTTAAAAAAGAAAAATTAAAACATCGAAAAGTTGAAAAAAAAAATAGGAAATCGAAGTATAAAACTGTCGACAATTTGAGAAATCTAAAGTTTAAGGAAAAATTGAAAATCCAAAAAGTAAAAAAAGGGTCGAAACCCAAAAACTGCAAACTGAAAAATTTAAAAATTGTAAAATCGAAAGAAACAACAAAAATTAAGAAAATGAAAAAACAAAAAATTGTGATATAAAATCGAGAAAATGAAAAATAAAAAATCAGGAAAAAGCAAAATAAAAATCTGGGAGTTGAAAAATGAGAAATTGTAATATTGAAAAATTGGAAAATTTGAAAGTCGGCAAATTGTAAAAGTGAAAAATCAAAAGTAAAAAACGAAAAAGTGTATAATAAAAACTTGAAAAATGTACAAAGTGAAAATCAAAGTCGAAAATTTGAACAAAAATTGCTAAAACCCTGAAAATTTGAAAAATTTAATAAAGGAAAAATTGTAAAATCGAAAGAAACAACAAAAAATAAAGGAAATTAAGAAAAAGAAAATTGTGATATAAAATCGAAAAAGTGAAAATGAAAAAATCGGGAAAATGAAAAATTGTAAAATCGAAAAAAAAAACACAGAAAATAAAGGAAATGAAAAAACGGACAATTGTGATATAAATCGAGAAGATAAAAATTAAAAATTCGCCACATTGAAAAATAAAAATCGGGAACATGAAAAATTGTGGAAACGAAAAATTGAAACTGAAAATTCGAAAAATTGAAGAAACGAAAAATTGAAAAATCGAAAGCAACAACAAAAAATAAAGGAATTGAAAAAATGTAAAGTTGTGACATAAAATCGAGAAAATGAAAAATAAAATCGAGAACTTGAAAAATTGAGGAAACGAAAAATTGAAAATGACAAAAATTAAAAACCGAGAATGTGAAAAATCGAAAAATGAGAAACTGTAATATCAAAAAATTGCAGAATTAAAAAATTTCAAATCGAAAACTTGAAAAATTTAGAAATCAAGAAACTGTAAAATTGAAAAATCAAAAATAAAAAAACGAAAAAGTTTATGATGAAAACTTGAAAAATGTCAAAAGTGAAAATCCAACATGAAAATTTGAAGAAATAAAAATTCGAAAAATCGAAAGACTAAAAATTGAAAAAAAAAAGAAATATGTAAGTATTGTAAAATCAAAATATTGAAAATTAAAGAAACTGAAAAATTGGAAAATTGGAAATCCAAAAAACAGCAAACTGAAAAATTTTAAACGTGGAATTGAAAAATGAAAGCCTGAAAATTTGAAAAATTGAATAAATAAAGAATTGGAAATCGAAAGAAATAACAAAAAATAAAGGAAATAAATAAATCAAAAATTGTGTTATAAAATCAATTTCAAAGAATTCGGTTTTATAGTTCCTGAGTAAATCAATAAAATAAATTTACGCATTCATTAATTTTTTTGACTCACCCTGTATATGCAAATCCAAAAAATATCGATAGAGTGATAAATCACAAGTACAGACTCATCGTATTTTGTACAGTTTAGATAGGATTTATTCAGCAAAAATTTTAGAGTGACGTCATCAATTTTTTAGGGGGGAAGAGCAAATACATTTAGATAAAAATTTACTATGCTTATGATAACTTTAAAACATCTCCAAGATTTCAAAGCATTCGGTTCTGTAATTCCTGATGAAATCAATAAAATAAATTGACGCATTCATTAATTTTTTTGTCACCCTGTATATGCAAATCGAAAAAAATTGAAAGGAATGATAAATCACAAGAAGAACTAAAATTATAACAATGAAACATCGAAAAGTTTAAGACTTTGGGAAATAGAAAATAGAAAAATTGAAAAATTGTAAAAAAATAGAGAGAGGAAAAAACGCAAAATTCGAAAATTTGAGGAACTGAAAAATTAAATAATCGAAAAATTGAAAAGTTGAGACACCGAGAAATTTAATAATCAAAAATGAAAAACTTAAAAATTTTAAAACTGCAAGATTGAAAAAGTAAAAAATTTAACAATCTAACACATTTCTAAAAAATCGTAAGATTGAGGAAACGAAAAATTGAAACATCAAAACTTAAAAATCAAGCTACTAAAAATCGGAATTCTAAACATAAAAATGAATCCATTTTGTTTAGTTTGATTTATGTAATGAACACTTTCGTAAATAAATGGTTGTTATTTAAAAATCTAAAAATTTAAATCGAGAAACTGAAAAATTAAAAATCGAAGAACTAAAAGTTGAAAAATTCCAAAATTCCAAACCACGAAAAATTAAAAAATACTTCAAAAATCGGAAAAAATAGGAACATTGAAAAATAAAACTGCAAACTTAGAAATTAAAAAATCCGAAAGGAAAATCAGAAAGAAAAAACCCCAAGATTCCAAACCACCAAACAAATAAAATCACTAATCACTAATCACTGATCACTGATCACTGATCATTGATCACTGATCATTGATCACTGATTACTGATCACTGATCGTGATTTCGTGATTTCGTGATTGGTGATTCGTGATTCGTGATTCGTGATTCGTGATTCGTGATTAGTGATTAGTGATTAGTGATTCGTGATGCGTGATTCGTTATTCGTGGTTCGTGATTAGTGATTCGTGATTCGTGATTCGTGATTAGTGATTCGTGATGCGTGATTCGTGATTCGTGATTAAGGATTAGTGATTAGTGAATAGTGATTAGTGATTAGTGATTCGTGAGTCGTGATTCGTGATTAGTGATTCGTGATTCGTGATTGGTGATTCGTGATTAGTGATTAGTGATTAGTGATTAGTGGTAGTCCAGTACTTTCGGAGATTATCTGTCTAATAAAAATCCGGGACGGCAGACAGACGGATAGACGGACAGATGTACAGACGGACAGGCGGACAGACGGACAGACGGACAGACCTATTTCTTCGTCTTTTAGGGGTCATGAAAGATCGAGAAAACGTAAAAGTAGAGAGTCAGCCGACGGACTCGATTACAATACTTCCTTTGCTTACGCTCGGGAAGTAAAAACTATCGTCCTAAGTCAATTTCTCTCATTTTTACAGGACACTTCAAATGGAATGAAAACTGTCCCAAACCAGGCCGAGTCATACCGCCTTAATTTACTTTTGTATTTCATGTTACGTTCCTTAATTACTAAATTTTGTACTCTGGGTAAGTGTATTAAATTTAATATATTCATCATTTAAGTCTGATGATGGTACCAGTGTAATACTAATTCTGGCCATTTTGAGAAAAAGTTTGGAACTGAGTTGCCTTCTGTTAAATGTGTATGCAGAGTGGAGAAACCAAAAGTGACAATGATTTGTAATATAAGCGCTTTTATTTTTGTATATGCATTTATTAAATTATAAAATCCCAAAAAAATATTTATAAAATCCGATCATCTTGCGTCTTCAAACCTTTGAAGAACACATCTTTTTACGATCTTCATCTAATACCAGCCGTGCCTTCGAAAATCGAATCTCGTCTGCATCCCATTCCGCAGGCTATAACTTTCAACATCATCCATCTTCGCGGTTGAGTACTCGTTAACTTTCGCAGCGACATCAAAACCATGACAGTTATCCATGCAATGTTTGTATGAGAAGAAATTATTTTCGTTGCCATAACATCCCCCATAATTGAACGTGTAGCAATCCTTCAGGAAGGAGTCGTATCTCCACCGGGTAGAATATATTTGGCATGGCCCTGGATCTTCAGGAAAGTTGCATACTATTTTTGGGTCTCCTGTTACTGAGAAACGAACAACATTTCGATACCTTAGATGCTTGAAATGTTAACTTACTGGGAGCAAGTGTAGAATTCACAGAGATGATGTTAAAACATGCGACCAAGAGCAGGACGACGACAAGCATTTTCTCTAGTACACTTTGAATAACTCTATGACTTTAAAGGAGCACCTAGCAACGACAATTCAATAAATATGTATTAAAAAAGTTAAT